GGCCACAGGGGTTGACGACGCGCGTAGCCCTCGTGGATGAAGACACACACCTCCCCCAGACATAAGAGCTTAAAATAAAAAAGAAGTATAAATTAAAAGACACAAAAAAAAAAAAGAACTTACAAAAAAAAAAAAAAAAAAAAAAAAATAAAAAATAAAATAAAATATAAAAGAAGAGCTTCGGGCGAGAGAAAACACACAACGCCCGGCGCGACCCGCGAAACGCCCCATCTCTCGGCCTCGACGCAGACCCGAAGACTGCCAACGATAATCGCACGCCAACCACCGTGACCTTCGACCAGAGGGGGCTCGCCCACGGCCGCCCCCCCCCCCCCCCCCCCATGAACTCCCAAGAGAGCGAAGCCAATGCAGTCGCGGCCCCTGGGCCCCGGCGCCCCCAGCAAGGAAACGACCTCGCCCAATTTCAATCTAGCCTGCATGCCCAAGACCGCCCCCGAAGCTGCAGCACGATCACTGGCCGCGCACGTGAAATTGTCGGCATGCAATCCGCAATCCACGGGGCCTCGGGGAGACGCTACTGAGCTGATGTATAATGGCAGCCTGAACGAAAGCAACCGCCCAATCCCATCCCATGAGCTCCGCGCGGGCCCTGAGACGGGCCAACCCCAGCTCTCGAACCGCGACCGGCAGCGAAGCGACGAGGGACGGGGAACGGCGGGCCGCGGGGATGGGCGGCTGCCCAAAGGAACGGCTTCACTGAACAGGGAGCTCGAACCAGCGATAGCACGAACCTACATCCCCGCCGCGCAGCACAAGAATCACGCGAAGCCGACACTCCAAACGGGCGACGGCCTCTCAGGAGGGGAGCGCGACCCCCGGGAGATCTCGAAACCAAAGATTGAACACGCGAGCACCCCAAATCAGACGGAGGGCGCCCAATTTCTTCCGCGCGAGAAAAGGTACTTTCCTCGAGCACATCCTCGCTGGCGTCGAGCACGCCAGCCCCCCAGGGCCCAGACGCGAACTGCCCGCGATGTCCGCGGGTTGCCCCGAGGCACGGGATCAAGGCACAGGCCACCGCCAAGATCTTTTGCACGATCGGCCACTGCCCTCCTCAGACTAAGAAATTAAAAAATCATCGAACGCGCGCTGCAGAGCGGACGGCAGGCAACCACTCAGAGGAACCTGCCAAGAAAGCTCCGCGGGAAGCGAGACGTCACCTCGCTCGAAGTGCACGCGAGCACCGACGGCCGACGCACCAACTGCAAAACCAGGCCGCCTTCCCTGGAGCGCCTGCGGCGCCCCCAGGGCGCCCCCGCAGTCGGGCGGGGCCGCGCCGACAGATCCGCGCCGCCGAAAGAGACGCCGAACAGCTGAACGCTGCGCCGAAATCAAGGCTGCCGGCGAAGTGGGCGCCGGACCCGGGGCACCCAGCCCATCCGAGGCTCGGATGCCGTCGAACAGCCACCCTTCTTGAACTCGACAACGTCGGAGGCGGCGTCGCTGACTCGGCGGCAAGTCCAAGCCGCTAGCGCCCCCCTAGCAGACCTCCGAGGCTGCGAGCAGGGAGATAGGTGGGACGTCACGCTGCCTCATCCACTGCGAAGCTGAAATCGCCTCAGGGCGGCCCCCACCTGCCGAACCCTGAAGCCCGAAAAGTGACCCTCGAGGAGGCGATGCGCCCCCCCTCGCGGCGGCACAGGACAGAATGGGACCAGGCCATCAGGCCCCCCCCCTTCTTCCCCTTGGTGCCCTTCTTCGCGGACGCAGCAGGGGGGCCTCCACGCCCTTCGCCAAGGCGGCCTCCTCGCGCGCCTTGCGGCGCCCCCTCAGCACTGCAGCCCGGGCCGGCGGCCCCATCGCGATGCAGTCCTCGAGCCCGGACATGACGATTGCGCTGCTGCGCAGGTTCTTCACGCCCAAGAAAAGGGACCTCTCATTGGGCCAGTCGTCGCCTCCGGCAGCGCTGGCGTCCACCCCCCGACGCAGGTCCCTGCAGGCACTCTCCCACATCTAGTACCAGCGGCTGATCAGCTCGAGCCACGCTAAGTTGCACACCTGGACTTGGTCGATCCTCAAGGCAACCTCCAGGAGCTGGGAGAGCAACAGCTGCTCCTCAACGCCCACGTCGGCGGCGCCCAGGCCGAGCACAGACCTCCACCAGTAGTGCCGCTGCACGAGCCCACGGCTGCCCTCGTAAATCCTCTCCGTCACGAAGTGCGCCGAGCGCGGGCCCTCGATCTCCCAGCTGCCCTTGAGGTCGACGTTTCCCGTCCGCTGCAGCGCGTCGGCGAAGGTCCGACGGGAACGCTTCTGGCCGTCCCGCTTCACCGGGAGGATACTGGAGTCACCCACAAAAGCGGCGTCCTCGAGCGTGCCCTCGAGCCCCCCGGCGAACACCGTCCCGTCCTTGAACAGGAAGGTGCACCTATTGTGGTGGTTGTACACAATCTTGCCGGCCCCGAGGTCCAGGACGCCGCCGCGAGCCAAACCACCGTGCGACTCCAGGGCGAACCACTTCTCGGCGGAGCCGCCCCTGGGGCCCTTTTTCGTATTGTTTCCGGCTGCAGTTCCGTCCTTGTCGTCGTCGTCACCTGACGGGGAGGCCCCTGCGGGGCGAAGGCCCTTCGCCAGAGCCTCGTCCGCGTCCAGGTAGTACTGCCTGTCACTGCCGAACGCGAAGCGGCCGACCCGATACACCGCCAGATCGCGAAGCGCCGCCTGCAAGCTGCCGCCAGTACCGAGCCGTCTCAAGCCGCCGCTCTCGCGGAAGTCCTGACCGAAAACGTCGAAGCCCCTGGAGGCGACGACCCACTTCGTCCCCGAAGTGTGAGCGAAAAGGACCCGCCCATGTCACTCCACATCTTCCCCGTCCTCGTCCTGAAAGCAGCAACCGAGGATCCGATCGCCAACCTGGAGCGATTGCACCCACGCCGGCGTCGCCATCGTCACTGTCCACGTTCCACGACTCGAACTGAGTGGTCGGGACAGCCGAGCGCCGACCAATGCCACGTCCAGAGAGGAGGCCTGCACCCAAAGCGATAGCTGTCAGCGTGCGAGAACGATGAGCCACCAGGTCGCACCAAGACTTCCCGCGCCCTCAGCGTTGCAACGGCAGTCGCACTGGCATTTTTTGCGTCGGCGGCTAGACAGAGGGTGACTGCGCTGGCGATAACATGCCTAAACGGGGGTTCCGCTGGAGCGGATCGTGCCACCATGCAAGACAGGGAGGGAGGAGGGACGCGGCCGAAGGAAAACAAGGACGGGGCGGGCGGCTCAGGGGTCAGAACGCTCACCGAGCGCGCAGTCGCCCTGGCACATGCACTGGGTCGGTCGCGCCGCTGGCTCGGCCAGCAGGCGGCACTCCCCCGAGACCGCTGCCTCGGGCACGGGCGCCTCGCAGACGCACTCGACGGGATTCGGGTAGGAAGGGAGGCGCGGAGACGCGCCACCTCACGAAAAGCGGAAAGTGTGACAGTCAGGGAGCAGAAGGCTTCCATAAAGGTTCTGTCTTGAACCGAAAATCCTGCAGAGCGGAGGACGGAGGCCGAGGTCGGGTCATTACAGTGGGGCGCAGACATCATCGGCACCACCACCATCATCATCATCATCATCATCATCATCATCATCATCATCATCATCACCACCACTACCACCATCATCATCAGCATCATCATCACCACCATCCTTACCATCCCCATCATCATAATCATTATCAGCATCATTATCAGCATCAGCAGCAGCAGCATAAGCATCAGCATCATCAGCGACATCATCATCATCATCATCATCATCATCATCATCAGCAGCAGCAGCATCATCAGTATCACCATCATCATCACAATCAGCATCATCATCAACATCGTCATCCTCACCACCATCATCAATGTCAGCATTAGCATTACCACCATCAGCATCACCATCACCATCATCATCATCATCACCATCAGCAGCATCACCAGCATCATCAACATCAGCATCATCATCAGCATCACCACCATCATCATGATCATCATCAACAGAAGCAGCATCATCATCAGCAGCATCATCAGAATCACCGTCAGCATCATCACGATCATCAGCATCATCAGCAGCATCATCATCATTAACAGAATCATCCTCACCACCATCATCAATGCCATTGTCGTCAGCATCAGCATCAGCATCAGTATCAGCATCATCATCAGCATCAGCATCAGCATCATCATCACCATCGTCATCATCACCATCATAAACATCATCATCATCAGTATCAGCATCACCATGATCGTCATCATCATCAGCATCATCATCATCGTCAACAGCATCATCAACATCAGATTCCTCCTCCTGCTAATCATCATCATTATCATCAGCATCGTCATCGTCATCGGTATCCTTGTCGTCGTCGTCATCGCACGTAATCGTCATTGACGTCATCACCGCCACCACCCTCATCCTATCATCGTCCTCATCATCAACAGCAGCAGCATCACCATCATTATCATCATCATCATCGTTACCACCACCACCAGCATCATCATCATATTCAATTCAGTTTTATATGTCTATTCGTCTTTGCCTTCGTTTTAATCTTCGTCTTCGTCTTTGTCGTCGTCGTCGCCCTGCCCCTCTTCTCTTACTAGTCCCTCGCCCACGTCCCCGACAGGGACTAGTGCGGTGAGGACGATGAGGAGGAGGAGGAGGAGGAGGAGGGCGCTAAGGAGACGAACGACGACCAACGACGACCCCTATCAAAAATCGGTCCCCAAACCCTCTCCAGGGGTGCTCTTGCGTGAGGAATTCGACGCGAATGCGGCCATGGCGACGAGAAGCCTCCCAGAGGCCCAGAGACCTCGAGTTTTGCTTCTCGGACGACGGCGACGACGACGACGACGACGAGGACGACGACGACGACGACGACGACGACGACGACGACGACGACGACGACGACGACGACGACGACGACGACGACGACGGCGGCGGCGGCGGCGGCGGCGGCGGCGGCGGCGGCGGCGGCGGCGGTTGCGGCGGAGGCGGTGGCGGGGGCGGGGGCGGGGCGCCTCTCCGCTCGTCCCGGTGCGAGGCGTACTTCAGCAGCAGCAGCGAGTGGTTGGGGAAGTAGGGGGACAGCAGCAGTTGCTCCTGACCCGGCCACGGATGAGGAGGATAACGACAACGACCTCGATAACAGCGATGACGACGGTGGCGACGATGATAATGACGATGTGATGATGCTTACGATGGCGAGCGTCTACGAAGGCGGCGACGGCGCAGATGACGATAGAGTTGGGGGGAGGGAGAAGACGCGGAGAAGCAGGAGTGAGGAGCGAGGAAAAGGTGAAGAGGGAGAAGGGAGGGAGGAGGCGGGGAGAGTCAGGAGGGGGAGGGAAGGACGAGTGAGGAGGGAGGATGCCTCGTTCCTCCTCCTCCTCCTCCTCCTCCTCCCTCCATACGTCTTCCTCATGGACAACTCCGCCCCGTCGCACGCCAAAGCCAGTCGAAAGAGCGGGCCGAGCAGTTCGCCTGGGACGTCCCTGCAGCTTTGTGGGCCTCAAGCTTGAAAACTGGCCACAGTCTCACAAATGGAGGGCGGGTCGCTTCCAAAGTGTGGCTCTCGCCTTGGCGACGCGCGCACTCGTTTCAAAAGGTTGCAACAGTTCAACGCACTGAGGACAGGTCGTTTTCAGCATGCGGCTATCGTCTGAGCGCCGCGCGCATTCGCTTTGAAAATGTGCAAGAGCTTCACGGGCTGAGGACAAGTCGTTTTCAAAATGTGGCTCTCGCCTTCGCGCCGCGCATATTCGTTTTAAGAAGTTGCAATGTGTTTCACGACTGGAAGGCGGTTCGTTTTTTGACTGTGGCTCTCGCCTTCTCGCCGCGCACACTCGCCTTAACAACTTACCAGAATTTCACGGATTGAGGGCGGTTCCTTTTCAAACTGTGGCTCTCGCCTTAGCGCCGCGCAAATTCGTTTACACAAATTACAATAAGTTTACTGGTTCGCATGGTTAACGTACCAGCAACGGCGTTTTGGAACGATTCTGGACTGTCCGGGCGCAACATTTACGTTGATTCGCGGTGTTGACGTCCCAGGACTAGCGTTCTGGCACGGTTTAGGATCGTCGAGACGCAACAGTCAGGTTCATTCGTGACGTTGAAGTCCTGAGAGCGGTGTTTGGGTACGCTTCAGGATTGTCACACGGTTGTCCCCCAACGGGACACTTCCCTCAGTGGAAATGAAGCCTTGTAGGGGCCTGAAGAGTGAGCTTGGAGGGCGGGTGTATTCCACCATCGTTGGTGAGTCTGGGGTTTACACTGGTCCTCGTCCTTCTCCTCCTGTTCATCCTTCTCCCCCGCGCGCGCGCGGGTGCTGATGGCAATGATGACGGCAATGATAACGATGCTGGAGCGCCTGATAACGGCGATGCTGGTGGTAACGCTAACGATGAAGACGACGATGGCGGTGATGACGGCGAGGATGAGGATGAAGACGGCGAAAAGAAAGCACTACGAACCTGCACGCACGCAGATTTATGGCAACATGTGTTTCGCTATGAAGCTGCATACATGCAGGTAAGTAAGGGAGCGAAAACAAACTTAGCACAATTGGCTCGTCATCTACCGTATCGACTCCTATACCGTCCCTTTACGGACTGTACAGACTGCTATACAAATCCGCTGCGGACTGCACAGGATCAGAATTACACAGGTCCACTACGGACTGTAATAGATCCGATGCAATCCTGCCACGGACTGTATGGGGTCCAATTCCGCGCGGGGGCGGGTCTCTGCTGCAGCATCTGACTCCGATTCCACGCCAAAGACCTTCCACTGTGGACGGTCCTTGGGGGCCCTGAGAATCGAGACCGGAGCCGTCACGGGAGAAGGTCCCTTGTGCAGACTGACCCCGATTCCGCTCCAGGGACCCGTGGACAAGCCTTGGCGGCCCTGGGAATCGAGACCGGAGTTTCCCCGTCTACGGGGGAGGGTCTCTGGTGCAGAATCTGACCCCGTCTCCGCTCCGGGGACTCTCCGCCGTGGACGGGCCTCCTTGGGGGCCCTCGGAATCGAGACCAGAGTTTCCCCGTATACGGGGGAGGGTCTTAGTGCAGAATCTGAAGCCGATTCCGCGCTGAGAGACCCTCGGCCGCGGACGTGCCTTGGCGGCCCTGGGAAGCGAGACGGGAGCCTCCCCGTTCACAGGGGAGGGTCCCTGGTGCCGAATCTGACCCCGATGCCGCGCCAGAGACCCTCCGCCGTGGACGGGCCTTGGCGACACTGGGCATCGAGACCGGAGCCTTCCCGTCCACGGGAGACCGCGACCCCCAGCGATCTCTGGGGTCGGCGGCAGAGGCTGCAGCCTTTGATCCGGCCGCTCCCGCCCTGCAGCGTGGGCCGTGCGAGACCACTCTGTCAGCGTGCCTGGCAGGATTCGCCAGGGTCTGGTCAAAACCTCCAGAATCGAGGACGCCGGCGGCGCATCACCGGCCGCTCCCTGAGAGTTTACCGAAGTGGTGCGCAGCATCGAAAGTCGTGACGCGTGGGTTTTGGGTCGGAGTCCTCATGGACGCTTCTTGGGGTCTCGCGAGAGGGCTCTCGGGGGCCTCTGCGGGGGAGTTTAGGGGCCTCTTGGGGGCCTCCTGGGGGCTTCGTGGGAGCCTCTTGGGGCCCTCTTGGGGCCTCTTGGGGCTCTCTTGGGGCCTCTTGGGGGCCTCCCGGGGGCCTCTGGGGGCCGTTCGTTCGTTCGTTCGTTCGCAAGCCATGTCGCACGACACATCGGCTCAGCAGGGGAAAAAATCAGAATGTTCCCTCGGGTTCCCCTTCTGGGTGCCTTCTTGGGGCCGTTCTGGGGCCCCTCTTGGGCCGTCCCGGGGGCCTCTTGGGCCGTCTTGGGGCCCGCTTGGGCTGCCTTGGAGCTCTCTTGGGGGCTTGTTGGGCCGACTTGGGGCGATCTCGGGGGCCTCTTGGGCCGTCTTAGAGCATCGGTAAGCCAAAATGGCGAGAACCTGAAAATCCTTCCAAAACCATCGACGAATCAAGGATTGTTGTCTCTTGGGGCTCTCTTGGGGGTGCTCTTGCAGGCCTCCCTCTTGGGGCGTCTCGGAGGCGTCTTGCTCCGTCTGGAGGCCATCTTGGGCGTCTTGGAACGATCTGGAACTGTCTTGAGGCTCTCTTGGACCGTCTAGGGGCTCTCTTGGACCGGTTTGGGGCGCTCTTGGGTCGTCCCCGGGCTGTTCCGGACCTTGAAGGAGGCGGGGGCCGGCGGCAGAGTGGGGCCCCCTCGGAGGGACTTTCAGGGAGGTTTCTGACCAGGCACTGGCGAATGGGGCTAAAGACTGTGCCAAACACTCTGTCAGAGAGGTCTCGCACGGCCCAACCCGCAGGGCGGGAGCGGCTGGATCCCTCCCGGGGGCTCAACTTCTGTCGGCAGTCCCTCGCAGACCCCCCCAAGACGAACGACTTAAAGGGCCCCAAGACGACCCTACAAACGCCCCCGGGCGACGCGCGAGCGCCCCAAGACGGCCCAAGAGAGCCCCACGACGGCCCTGGAGAGCATCCAGACGGCTCCAGATCGTTTCCAGCCGCTCCAGATAGCCTCCAGGCGTCCCCAGACGCCCCTGCGATGCCCCAAGAGGCCTCCAAGATGCGCCCCAAGAAGGTCCCCAGACGCAAAAATTGCCTCACTCCCTTCGTGGACCGTACATTTTTCACAACTTCACTTTTGAGGCTTTCCGACGCTCCAAGACGGCCCAAGAGGCCTCCAAGACCGCCCCAAGACAGCCCAAGAAGCCTCCAAGAGGGCCCCAAGACAGCCCAAGAGAGCCCCAAGACGGCCCAAAATGCGACCAAGACGGCCCAAGAGGGCCCCAAGAAGAGCCCAAGAGGGGGCCTGGAGGGGCGCCACGAACGGAAAGCTCAAGCCTTCCGCTCCAAGGACCGCCAGGAGGCCCCAAGAGGCCCCGCGGAGGCCTCAAGGAGCTCTCAGGAAGCCCCCCAGGAGGCCCCAGGAGACCCCCAAGAACCCTCAAGAGGCCCCAAACCAGCCCTCAAAAGGCTTCGAACCTGCTTCCAGGAGGCTTCCGAGAGGCACGAGGCTCCCGAGAGGCTACCTCAAACTCCCACGAAGCCCAAATGCAGCCCACGGGCACCCCAAGACGACCCAAGAGAAGCCCAATACGGCACAAGAGTGCCGCAAAAAAGCCCCGAGAGGCGGAAATCGAAAGGACACTTCGAGCTTGCCGCCACAGCGAGACCTCCGACCCCGCCAGCAGGCTCCCAAGAAACATTCGATGGGCCCCAAGAAGCCCCCAATAAGCCCAAAAGAGGCCCAAAAGAAGCCCCAAGAGGCCCCCTAACGGCCCCTAAGAGGAACCGAAGAGGCTTCAAAACTGCCTCCAAGAGGCTCCCGAGACGCTGCGTCAGATTCCCAGGGAGCGGCCGGTGATGCGCCGCCGGCGTTCTCGATTACTCCGACGGAAAGACCCACCATGATAATCTCCTTGGTGGACATCTGCGCGGCAATCGACGACTAACGATGGACATGATGCTAGGATGCCAGGATGTTGGGTCGCCAGGATGCTAGGAAGCCAGGATGTCAGGACACCAAGGTGCCAGGATGCCATGATGCCAGGGCGCCAGGATGTCATGCGGCCAGGAGGCCAGGAAGCCTGGACGACAGCATGGCAACATCCTAGTATACCAGGAATGCCAGCAGGATGCCAGGCGGCCAGAAAGCCGGGAGGCCTGGGCGACAGCATGGCAAGATCCAAGTATGCCCGGAATGCCGCCACGATGCCATGCGGCCCGGAGGCCAGGAGGCCAACATCGCAAGATCCCAGGATGCCTGCGCAACATGCGCGGCCTGTAGGTTGTGGGGGACCTGTGGGACCTATGGGAGATTGGGACCCGTTCGAACTGTGGGACCTGTGGGGCCTGTGGAACATGTGGGACTTGTGCGACGTATGGGAGCTGTGGGACCAGTGCCACCTGCGGGCGTATGGAACTTGTAAGTCCTGTAGGACTTGTACGACCTGTGCTATCTGTGTCCTCCTCCTCCTCCTTCTCCTCCTCCTCCTCCTCCTCCTCCTCCTCCTCCTCCTCCTCCTCCTCCTCCCCCCTCTTGCTCACCCCCCCGTACTTCGCCCCTGCGCAGGAGGAGACCTGTGAGGCCTGTGGGACTTCTGCGGCCTGTGGGGCGTGTGCGGCTTGCGGGGCCTGTGGGCCTTGTGAAACTGTCAAAACTGCGGGGCCTGAGCCTGGATGCCAGGAATGCCAGGATGCCAGGGATGCCAGGGATGCCAGTATGCCAAGGGTGCCAGGGGTGCCAAGGATACCAGAGACCAATCATGCCAGGATGCCAGGATGCGAACGCAAAATCAATACAGTAAGTGGGTTGCAGCTGGTTCCGGACATTCAAAGTCAGTCCCAGAAATGGAGTTCGGGGAGCACGAAGAAGCCAAAGTGGACTACCGTTAGCTCCGAGCCCGACCTGGGAGCACAAAAAACCCGAAGTGGCCGACCGCTGGCTCTGGACACTCAAACTCAGCCCCAGGAATGGAATTCTGGAAACACGAAGAGCCCGAAGTGGCCTACAAGCGGATTCGGACACTCGGAATCAGTGCTGGGAACAGAATTATGGCGACTCGATGATCACAAAACCTGTTCTTCTTTCAGGGTCGGCCGACGGCCGCATCGGATTAGTGACATGAAGCGGAGGCCCCATAGGGAGAGAGTTCCCGCCTGAGACTTCCTCACCATTTGGCCAATCAGGACTGGGGATGGAGTGTGATGGTTATGAGATGATGGTGACGATGATGATCGCGCTGATGATGGTGACGGTGATGAGCGTGAGAGGAGACAAGGAGGAGAGGGGATAGGAGAAGGAGGACTGCGCGGAGTGCCCAGAGAAAGCAGGATGCCACTTAGGGTGTGGGGAGCAAGAACACCACTCTGAATGTGGGGGAAGGGAACCCAGCGCGGGGGTGCCCAGAGAAAACAAGGACCTCAATTCGGATGTGGGGGGAAACAGCAAAATGAGCAGCAGCAGCGATCCTCAAACCTCGACCCAAAAATCTGTTTACGTTCATACGTCCTCCCCCTCTTCATTACCTTGCTTACCGCATCATCACCAGCATTACCGCCATAATCACACCCGTCCTATCCATAGCTCATTGTCATCCTCCTGCCCCATCATCTCCATCATCACCATTATTAGCATCTTCTTCTGCAGCATCATCACCATATTATAATTCATCCTCGTCAGCATTGTCATCATCGCCATCCCTCATCGTCCTCTTCCTCTCCTCCTCCTCCTCCTCCTCCACCTCCTCCACTTCTATTCCTTATAAAGAACTCCTCCCTGTCGCACCCAGATGCCAGTGTGTTGGGCGGGCCGGGCGTTTCGCCTGACTTCCTCACCACGTATGACCCTAAAGCCTAACAATTGGCAACAGCTTCACAGATGGACGGCGATGGTTTTCACAATGTGGCTCTCGCCTTAGCGCATCGTATATTCCTTCTGGAAATATGCAAGAGTTTCACGGATCGATGGCGGGTCGTTTTTACGATGTGGCTTTCGCCTTCGCGCCGCGCACATTCGTCTTAAAAATGCAAGAGCTTCACGGATTGAGGGCGGGTCGTTTTCAAGAATTTGGTTCTCGCCTCAGCGCCGCGCGCATTCGTTTGTAAAAACTGAAGGTTGAGTGCGCATCATTTTCAAAATGTGGCTCTCGCCGTAGCGCCGCGCACATTCCTTCTAAAAATCTGCACGTGTTTCACAGATTGAGGGCGGGTGGTTTTTAATGTGTGGCTCTCGCCGTAGTGCCGCGCACACTCGTTTTAAAAATTCACAAGAGCTTTACGGATTGAGGGCGGGTGGTTTTCACAATTTGGCTTTCGCCTTCGCGCCGCGCACATTCGTCTTAAAAAATGCAAGAGCTTCACGGATTGAGGGCGGGTCGTTTTCAAGAATTTGGTTCTCGCCTCAGCGCCGCGCGCATTCGTTTGTAAAAACTGTAGGAGCTTCTCGGATTGAGTGCGCATCATTTTCAAAATGTGGCTCTCGCCGTAGCGCCGCGCACATTCCTTCTAAAAATCTGCACGTGTTTCACAGATTGAGGGCGGGTGGTTTTTAATGTGTGGCTCTCGCCGTAGTGCCGCGCACACTCGTATTAAAAATTCACAAGAGCTTCACGGATTGAGGGCGGGTGGTTTTCACAATGTGGCTTTCACATTAGCGCCGCGCACATTCGTTTTAACAATCTGCACGAGCTTAACGGATTGAGGGCGGTTCCTTTTCACAATGTGGCTCTCACCGTCGCGCCGCGCACATTCGTTCTCTAGAATTTGTAACAGTTTCACAGGTTCCCATCATCAACATAACAAAAATGGTTTTTTGGAAGGCCTCCTCCTCCACGTCCTCCTTCCGCCTTCTCCTGATCATCCCGATGTGTTTCGTCATCATCACCTTATCGTCGCACTCGCCATGGTCATGATCATCGCCACCATTGCACATCATCTTCGTCCTTCCTCATCCTCATCATCCTCCTTCTCATCACCACCACTAGTCTTCTCTCCGCCTCCTTCTCATTATTCCTCCTCCTCCTCATCCTCCATCCTCCTCATCATCCACATCCTTCTCTTCATGAGCATCACCACCATCCTAGTCGCCATCATCATCGGCATCGTTATGGCAGTCACCACCCTCATGATCGTCATTACCATCACCATCGACATCGGAGGTCGGGGGGTGAGCTCGCAGTGGAACGAAGAAATCCGCACCAGGAAATCGGTTTCGGTTTCGTGTTCGTGTCGTGCGTGCGGGCGAGGCGAAGCTGCGTGGGCGCGCGAAAGAAATGATGCCGCCGTGGCCAGGAGCTGTGGAGCCGGTTGTCCGCCCCTCCCTTCCCCCTGGCGCGCGATAGCCCGGGGTGTCCCGTCGGTGGCGCGTCGGTGTCCCGTCGGTGTCACGTCGGTGGCGGTGGCACGGGATGTCCCGACGGTGGCTCCGGGTGTCCCGCCGTGGTGTCTCGATGGTAGCTCGTGAGATCAGTTGTGAGATCGATAGTGCGATCGATAGTGAGACCGATAATGAGATCGAATGCGTGATCGATCGGGATCGTGAGATCGATCCCGGGTTGCCCCGTCGGTAGCGCGGGGGGGCCCCGTCGGTGGCGCGGGGTGCGCCGCCAGTGGCGCGGGGCGTCCCGACGGTGGTTCCGGGTGCCCCGCTCCGCGTGTCCTGCCGTGGTGTCTCAATGGTAGCTCGTGAGATCAGTTATGAGATCGATAGTGAGATCGATTGCGTGATCGTGGGATCGATCGTGAGATCGGTAACGATATCGATAATGAGATCGATAGTGAGATCGATATTTGGATCGATCGCAACAGATCTTTGGCTGGGGGTGCCCCGCCGTGGCTGGGTGTGCCCCATCGTGGTGTCCCGATGGTGTCTCGTGAAATCTCGTGCGAGGTCGAAAGTGAGAACTCTTATGAGACCGATATTGAGATCGATATTGAGACCGATAGTGCGATCGATATCGAGAGCGATAGTGAGATCCATGCTTGAATCGATAGTGTGAATTATTGGGATCGATGGCGCCATCTAATCGTCTTTCTTTCCCCCACCCCAACCTCCTTATCATTCGAAGGGTGGTCGTATAAGTATGGTACTCCCCTCCTCATTCTCCTCACTCCTCATCATCATCAACCTCCTCATTTTCCTCCTCATCCTCCTCCTCATCCTCCACCTCCTCCTCACACCACCTGCCCCTGGCGGCCTTGGCCTGCATGCCCGTTCTCCGGCCGCTGCCGAGCCGCTTCATCTTCTCCACCACCTGGAAGGAGGAGAGTTCCTGTCCTCCCTCCTCTTCCTCCTCCTCCTCCTCCTCCTCTTCCTCCGCCTCCTCCCCCTCCTCCTCTTCATCCTCCTCATCCTTCTCCTCCGACTCCTCCTCCGCCTCCTCCTCCTCCTCCTCCTCCATATCCTCCTCCTCCCTTCCTCATTTTCATCATTCCTCCCCCTCCTCCTCCCCCTCCCCCTCCCCCTCCTCCTCCTCCTCCTCCTCATCATCATCATCCTCCTCCTCCTCCTCCTCTTCCTCCTTACTCTTCTCATATGTAGTACTGCTCTCAGCTTCCTGTTTATTACAACTCGCACTAGTTTGCTTAGTAGTCGTGTTACCGTCTTATGTTATGACTACTTTTTCTGTACATTACATTATTATTGGTGTTGGTAGAATGAATGTACTCGCATTAATAGTCGTAGTAGTATTACTTGTCTCCTGGTTCTTCTTAAACTTATCAGCAATACTATGATCACCACTATTGCGTTGTTACTGTGCTTGGTATCATGACTATGTGTTCTCCTTATGCGTCTGGTTATTGGTATTAGTACCATTGTTAGTATGATTCGCGTGTGGTGTCGCATTCGCCTTATTCTTAGTATTGGTAACATGACTAACAGCATTTCCATTATTGTTATGAGTATCATTAATCTTAGTATTATCAGCCTGATTATTCTTAATAGTATTCGTGCTCGTCCTCTCCATATTAGTTATATTCATCGTATTGCACGTGTGAATAGTTGTCCTATTCTTATGATTCGCGTTATTGGTTTAGTAATAGTGTTTGCCTTAGTCTTGGCAGTATTGTTCTTATTCGTATGCTTAGTATTAGCATTCGTTTTCGAATGTTTCTCATTATTCTTATTAGTATTCAATATCTTATTCTTATTACCATGCGCATTATCATTATTATTCCTCCGCCTCCTCCTCCTCCTCAACCTTCTCCTCCTCCTCCTCTTCCTCATCCCCCCTCCTCCCTCCTCCTCCGTCCTCCTCCCTCCTCCTCCCCTCTCCTCCCTCCTCCTCCCTCCGTCTCCCTCTTCCTCCCTCTGCCTCCCTCCTCCACCCTCTTCCCTCCTCCTCCTCCGCCCACCTACGTCCTCATCCGCCCACCTCCTCCATCAGATTCTCTCCTTTTCCCTCCTCCTCCCTCATCCCTCCTCCTCAGCCCTCCTCCGCCCTGCTCCGCTCTCATCCGCCCTCCTCCGCTCTCCTCCGCCCTCCTCTTCCTCCTCTCCTCCTCCTCCTCCTCCTCCTCCTCCTCCTCCTCCTCCTCCTCCTCCTCCTCCTCCTTCCTCCTCCTCCTCCTCCTCCTCCTCCTCCTCCTCCTCCTCCTCCTCCTCCTCCTCCTCCTCCTCCCCTCCTCCTCCTCCTCCTCCTCCTCCTCCTCCTCCCTCTCCTCCTTTTCCTCCTCCCTCCTCCTCCTCCTCTCCTCCTCCTCCTCCTCCTCCTCCTCCTCCTCCTCCTCCTCCTCCCCCTCTTCGTCTTATTGGTATTATTAGTAATAGTATTAGTATTAGTATTAGTATTAGTATTAGTATTAGTATTAGTATTAGTATTAGTATTAGTATTAGTATTAGTATTAGTATTAGTAGTATTAGTATTAGTATTAGTATTAGTATTAGTATTAGTATTAGTATTAGTATTAGTATTAGTATTAGTATTAGTATTAGTATTAGTATTAGTATTAGTATTAGTATTAGTATTAGTATTAGTATTAGTATTAGTATTAGTATTAGTATTAGTATTAATATTAGTATTAGTAGTATCATAATTATTACTACTACTATTATGAGTATTATGATTATTATTATTAATAGTATTATTATTAGTATCATTATTATTACTGTTATTGTTATTAGTAGTATTATTAGTATTATTATTAGTATTATTTATCTCTATGTATAATTATTATTAGTATTAGTATTATTATTGGTATTATTAATAATATTATTCTTATTACTAAAAACGATTAATAGCATTAATAATATTAGTATTGAGATTATTATTATTACTATTATTGTTATTAATATTATTATTAGTAGTAGTAGTATTATCATTACTATTATTATTAGTAGTAGTATTATCATTATTATTAGTGTCATCGTTATGATTAACACTATTATTATGATTAGTAGTGTGAGTAGTATCAGTAGTAGTAGTACTATTACTGTCATTATTATTAGTATCATTAGTACTATGAGTATGATGAGTATTAGTAGTAATATTATGAATATGAGTAGCATTATTGTTTTTATTTGTATTGTTATTGGTATTAGTGTTACAAGCATTACTACTACTACTACTACTACTACTACTACTACTACTACTACTACCACTACTACTACTACTACTACTACTACTACTACTACTACTGCCTACTACTACTACTACGACTACTACGACAACTACTACTACTACTACTACTACTACTGCTACTACTACTACTACTACTACTACTACTACCACTACTACTACTACTACTACGGCTACTACTAGTAGTACTACTACTACTACTACTACTACTACTACGGCTACTACTACTACTACTACTACTACTACTACTACTACTACTACTACCACTACTACTAGTAGTATAAGTATTAGTATTATTCGCATTGTTGTTAGTACAACTATTAGGTATTATTAATACTCAGAATCCTATTCGTAGTAGTAGTAGTATTACAATTATTATTAGTAGCATCGTACGTACTATTATTATTGTTGTTAAGAATGATAGTAGTACCAAGATTGTTAGTAGTACTATTATTATAAATACACATAAATTTACATACATATATATATATATATATGAGCACTATGATTGTGATTTTATTAGTAGTATTAGTAGTAGCAGTAGTAGTAGTAGTAGTATGCATGTAGGTATGTATGTATGTATGTATGTATTGTTACTATTCTGATTAGTAGTAGTATCATTATTGTTGGTATGAGTATTCCGAGTAGTATTACCAGTATTATTAATATTAGTATGCTTACTAGTAGTATTAGTATTCATACTATGCATATGATTACTGTTAATAATATTACAAGTAATACCCTTAGTATTATTATTCGTAGTAATAGTAGCATTCGTATTGTTAATATTATCAGTGGAATTATGATTGGTAGTATTATTATTACAAGCATTATTACTGGTAGTATTAATAATAATAGTAGTAGTAGTAGTATGATTAGTAGGATTAGTACTACCATTAGTAGTAGTAGTATTGTTATGAGTAGTAGTAGTAGTAGTAGTAGTAGTAGTAGTAGTAGTAGTAGTAGTAGTAATAGTAGTAGTAGTAGTAGTAGTAGTAGTAGTAGTAGCAGTAGTAGTAGTAGTAGTAGTAGTAGTAGTAGTAGTAGTAGTCCTGATGATTGTTATTATTCGTAGTAACATTATTTGCATTACTATTATTAGTATTAGTATTCTGATTATCATCAGTATTACTATTCCTCCTTATCCTCCTCCTCCTCCTCCTCCTCCTCGTCCGCCTCCTCGTCTTCCTCCTCTTCCGCCTCTTCCTCCTCTTCCTCCTCCTCCTCCTCCTTATCCTCATCCTCCTCCTCCCCCCATGATCATCATCATCGTCATCATCATCATCATCAGCAGCATCATCATCATCATCAAAATCATAATCATAATCATCAGCATCATCATCACCACCATCAGCATCATCATCAGCATCAGCACCAGCATCACCATCACCATCACTGTCACCATCATCATCAACGGCAGCAGCATCATCAACCTCATCAGCATCATCATCATGTTCATCCTACTCATCAACAGCAGCATCATCATAGTCATCAGCATTAACCTCATCATCATCAGCAGCAGCAGCAGCAGGAGCATCCTACTCGTCCTCCTCTTCCTCCTCCTTGTCCTGCTCCTCCTCCTCCTTCTCCTCCTCCGCCTCCGTTTCCGCCGCCACGGCCGCCGCCGCCCGCCCCCGCCCCCCTTCCTCTCCTCCCCTTTTCTTTCTCCACCAGGTTGGAGGATCGATGTTGTGCGGTTCGGACCCAAAGGCCCCTGATGGGCTTCAGCGCCCGGAAACCCCCAGAGACGTCAGAACCGTTGGGGGCCTCCCAGGAGCCTCGGGGGAGAGGAGGAAGAGATCAGGAGGGGGCGGAGGAGGAGATCAAGAGGGGGGGGGGGGAAGGAAGGAGGAGATCCTTCAGGAGGAGGAGGAGGAGGAGATCCTTCAAGCGGAGAAGGAGCAGGAGGAGGAGGAGGAGGAGGAGGAGGAGGAGGAGATCCATGAGAGGGAAGCGGGAAGCGGTGCAGCGGCAGCAGTCGATTCGATAGCTGCAGCTCTGGATGGGGGATCGCGGGAGGGTGGGCAGAGATGCCGACCCTCCTGCTAGAATACGGCGACCGTCAGGGCGCCAGGCCGAACTACTCCGAAGGGTGGCGCCTGCAAACCAGGCGCCGCGGAGCGCGGCCGCTACATGTCGACACGGGCCGACAGAGGGCAAAATAAAAATTGCCAGCATATGGAAGCGGGGCCACTCAAATGCGCGGCCCCGAGAAAATCAGTCAGATGAGCCCGAGTCTTCCTCCCCAGCACCACCACCCACAACGATGCTCGAAGCTGCCGCAGCAGCAGGAACAGAAGAGCACTGAGCGGTGGCGCTTGCACGGTCGGGAGCTTCGGGCCTGCGCTCGAGCTGGACACCAGTGCCTGGATGTCGGCCACTCTCAGCGCGAGCAAGCTTTCTGAGGTGACCGATGCGCGTCGTCTGCACCTGCGAGACACCTCGGCACGTCCGTCTTAGTCCCCGACAACAGCCATCGGGGAGCACCAAAAAGCACGCACAGTCAAGGCAGATTATTATTCTCCCATTGCGCACAGGTCGGTGCTGGAGGTCTTTAAAAACTTTGAGGTCTTCTGAGTCCGATCCCGAGGGGCCCCTGGACCAGGCATAGGAAGAGGTGGGCCCCAGGTCGACAGGAGGCTCGGGGGAAGAGACTCCTGGCAGGGGCCCCAGGA